GGCACGAAGTTGGCGGAGGCATATGAGTGCAAGATATAGTTTGTTTGAAGACGAATTAAGCCTATAGCATATTTCAATGCAGTTACATACCCATTTAAAATATAGTTTTCAGGATGCACCAGGCTTTTTAGCATTCCAATCCTACTTTTCAGAGTTCGAATCCCGTCTTCGATGTTAGGATTCAAATCGATTCCAACCTATTTGAACTCTGCAAATTCGAACCTTCAGCTCCATATAACACCCACTTATTTTATCACTTTTTGGACAGCTGTCTTATTGTGGCGACTCCAAGCCCTCTCGCATTTACTAGACACCCGGGGATGTTTCGGACAACACCTATGCTCCATAAGCATCGCCCATACCGTCAGTGGTGTAAGAGATTTCAAACTGATTTCTGATCATGCTCACTTTTAAGTTTAGCTTGCTTAGTGAAATGAATGTCGTGATAGCAAAGAGACGCCTATCAAACCATGAATATACCCCGAAACTTACACTTATAAAACCAGAAAATAATATATACATATATATATATATATATATATATATATATATGTATGCCCAGCGTGTCATCCTAGGCATCGTGTAGGCATGTGTGGGCACCTGCCTCATATCCAGTGTTGCTCCCGGGTGTCCACAAAGCTACATGTCCAAGAATCTTTTCTTTGAACCGTTCCGGTCTTGAAATTGAGCAGCAGTTCTACGCTTAGGGTTTAAAATTCCATATGGCACCTCAAGTTTTTTTTACGTCACTTGGAATTGCAAACTGCCATAGAAATCACATTGGCTGTAGTGGTGTACCGAAGATTTCGCCCAGGAGGTGCGGGACGGAGTCGCATCCCATTACTATGAGTGTCAACAACGTCATCAACGTCCACCATTGCTTCCCCAAAACTCGTAGTCCACTGGCTCAACCAGAGGGTTGTGGGTTATGTTTATTTTTTGGGTTATGATTCCCCCATAACTCATGACCCCAAAAATCCCGGAACCCTAAGAGGCCCCACTCACCACCTGTGCAAGGCTTAACACTCCAAACTCAATTGGAATCTTCCCAAGAAAGTTAATGGTCTGAAAAACAGCGGGAAAATTTTGACGGTCAGCCTTAATCCACCAACGAAAGCAAAATAACTTGATAGTTAACGGATTAAGAGTTAAACGATTTCGAACTCACTTCTGATAATGGGCAGCGCGGTGTAGGTTCTTAAATGCGCGCCATCGGGGAATTACATGCCTCTCAACCGATCGAGCATATACCACCATGCAGATCTTAACGGAAGGTGTCCATTGTCTTACCTTGTAGTCAAATCACGATTCTGACGTTTTAAGACCTCTGCATGTAGCCGTTGTCCCGATATAGTTACGTCAGAAAATGACGTTATGGCTAAAATGCGCTAAGTAAATTGATGCTTATTTGAGTTGTTGATTTTTATAACAAGTTGAATTATCGGCATACCTATAAGCTTTCTTTTTTCCAATCAGCAAACTCGATTTCCTAAGTAATTAACACCTTCGATTGGTTACGAACATCGGGTTTCAAAGTCTGCGTTAATTTCTGCAACCACATCCATCAATAGGAAAGTAGGGACCCACTGAACACCCGCACAATGCGGATGCAATCCCAGCCGGACGGACCGGCGTGGCGCGGCGCCCCCTTCCGGCCGGCCCCGTGCGCCACCCAGCCCGTTGTCAGGCGGACCGGCCCGCGCCGATGTCACCGGCAGCTGTCGGCCCTCTCCCGTGTTGGTCCTGAAAAACGACTCCAGACGGCGGGAGTCATTGATTGAAAGATGATGGCCATCAAATTTCTCACTCACACTCGCTGACATCGGCCGCCTCAGCTGCAGCTACTTTAGCGACGTGAGCTCTTTCTGATTAGACAGTCATCCACGCACAGTGCTTACGAAGCGTTCATTTCTTTCAAAATGAATGGTCTGCGTTAACCCATATAACTGCAGCGTAAAGCGACTATATATATATATATATATATATATATATATATATATATATATATCTCTCTCTCTCTCTCTCTCTCTCTCTCTCTCTCTCTCTCTCTCTCCCTCTCTCTGAGGACATGGATATGTCGCTTAAGGTCTGACCAAACCAGATCCGTCTCGGTCAGGCCCATCAAACCGGATCCGTCTCGGCCAGGCCCATCAAACCCGATCCGTCTCGGTCAGGCCCATCAAACCGGATCCGTCTCGGCCAGGCCCATCAAGCCTGCTCCTGCAGCCGGGCTCGCCAACTCTACACTGTTCGTCAGAGCCGGGCCCTAGGCTCCGCTACATTTGGTAGGACTTCTGAACAACCAGGAGCCTCTCCAGCGGCCATTTGTGAGGCAGAAACTTCATCAGCGTCCACACAACCGCCAACACTGCAGTTCTGTTTACAGTTGTGCAATTCGGACAACTGCCTGCTGTGCTTCTGAAGCCACCAGACGACCCCGTTAGTCGTCTTGATTTTGCTCGCTCTTTTGATCATGTGTTTAGTGGCGCCACACCTGGGAGCAGTTTTATTGATTTAAGGGAATGGAACAAAAATCTGCAGTTTAGTTCCGAAGGGTGTGGACAGGTGGTTTAACTTGTCTACGAGATCCGCCGGCAGTTTTTCTATGATGGCTGGGGTTTTAGTCGTGGGGACTACGATAACCAGTTCGCGCCTCGTTATCGGTTTTTCATACATGTGCATGTACATGCATACATGTCTTTCTGTCTCTCCTTGCCTTCTTCATAGCGGTCCATTCAATACAATACTACAGGTCTCATGGGATTAACAATCACGCTTAATTCCACAGAAAAACAGGCAGTGTACCTCAATATTCCGCCAGCCCTTGCGTGCCCGCATTTAGGGTTGCGAGTTCAGTCTGGCTGCCACCCGTGCACCGCTCAGGCGTCCTTCGGATGGCCCGAGCGGTGCACGCGCCCATGGTTGTTGGGGTGGTGCTAGGTTTGCAATGCTAATGGCGTACCATGGCCTAATTGTATTAATTATATTCTTCCAGTGATTTCAGATGGGACATCACAGAACTTGACCAAAGCTTATAACATTTCGCTTCACGTCATTCCTGTAATTTTGCTTATCTTTGGCTTCACTCAGAACGCGCCACATCATGTCGAATTCCGCGCAGCCGAGAGACGCGGCTTATTTTCCTCTTTGGTTTCCCTCCACACAGTACGCTTCGGGATGATCTATTTCTGGTTCCGGAAACAACAACAACGGTAAGACTATTGGAGGAAGGTCGTTCGGGCTGTCGCTTTCGCCGCGCCAATTTCGGATGACAGGAAAATAGATGGCTTTTTTACCTTATCGGAATGCGACGCTATATTTGCACTGAAATTTCCGTTTTGGTCCTCGCCCGCAAGTCTGATGCTACCGACCGCACTAAAACCTACCCTAACCTAACCTAGCCTCCGTCCCTGGCGTTTATTGTGCCAGGTTTAGCGCCCCAAAACCGCAGACTCTTGCAGCCAAATGGCAGGAAATGCGCTACACTGTACCACATCTAAACCAGCCTTTCATAGTCAGCGTCCTGCACATAAGCTGCGATCGAAGCCGAGCCGTTCATTGATATTTCATGGAGAGTGCATGACGCAGGTCATCGCCTCACCGTTTGTCTCAGCTCTATTCGGGGCGGGCTCTTCGTAACTCTCGTTCCAGGCTGAGGAATGCAATTTGCTCGCCTCCTCCGAGGGCCCCCTCAATAAGACCTACACTTATCAAAAAAGAAAATCTCCAGAAGTTTTAATAAGGGCAACAGCAGGGCAAGAATGTAACCAACGCAGATCGATAAATAATGACAGGGACTGATGCATCACAGATAGATTCCAAGCCAAGAAATTTGGGACGTATCCAGTAAATGTAAACACAGAACGCTACATTCAAATATATTCACGTATATTCAACTATACTATATTATATTCAACTATACTCAAAACGCTTTACTCAAAACAACTGTACTATATTACTATACAACCATATTCAAGACATGATTTTACTTCAGTATGCTATTCAGAAAATGGGATGGTGCTTTACTCTATAGCAAAGAAAAGCAAAACTTCTGATAGAAGAATATCAGAAGAAGTTAAACAAGTTATGGCATGGTCGAAAGGTATGATGAGAGTATGCATCAAAATATTGTATAGGCGTTGATAAGGTGCCCATTGGTATGGCGAAAAAGTGGGGTGACGTGAGCAGTAGATATCTTTATCGGACACGTTGCTGCTATGCGCTGCAAAGGGCATATGATGCCCACATGGTAGGTATCGTCAGGTGCCATAGACGTATCCAGTTTCTAACGGAGCGGTTTAGGTAGAGGTGATTTGAGTGCGTCTCATTGCCGCGGCCGCTAGATGCCAGTCCGCTGCTGGTGGCCTGTATACTGCAATTGCCAGTCCTGCATACTGCAATTCACCCTTTTGAGTTCATAAAGTCGCCACTGGCATGATCTGACTGCTTTGAATACTTTGAAAAATAAACGCCTGTGGTTGTAGACTTTTCAGCCAACCACCCTTGACAAGGCCCTGCGACATACGTGTCATCGGAATGTGCATTGACTTTGTTTTTGATATTTCAACTTGGAAACTCGGATCGGTCTGTCGTGTCCGAGATCGGAGACGGCTTGACGGTCCGTTCACAGTTCGCTAGTTTGGGGCTTTTCAGGGCGCGTCAACTGCAATCCTCACTCGCGCTCCGTCCGCACAGTGAGCGCTCACTGTGGACTCTCACCATGGTTAGCTGACATCACCAGGTGCGCGGCGGCCTTTCATGCCGTATGTCACGAGACAGGGCGAATGGTGAGCATCTCATGAAGCTTCCAAGAGCACTCTCCGATGATGCAGACGGTCTTGGGGGTGACAGCGAGACTGTATGGCCAGCATTCAGCCAAGTTTTCTGTTGTCGCAACTGCATGCGTAATTAAGGCCGGGTAGTTCGGTTTCAGTTGATATGAGACATCATAGCGTTCGTCTTCACACGGCTGCTGTTTACACACATCGACGTGACTCTTGCTGGGCACGGCAAGCTTTTGCTGGCATGAATGCAACCAGCATCTTAAGACACAGCTGCGGGCGACATGTTTGTCGCGTCCACTTGCCCATTGCATGCTGTTTGCCTTTCACGGCAGACGTCCACATGCTGTAACGTTGCGACAGGCCATTTAGTATGGTTAGTATTTGGGATATTCAATGTACACGGCTCCAGTAAATCGAGGTCATTTCATCAAAATAAGATGACCCACGCACCGAGCACACGGACATATCACACACATGCATTCTGGTGTCATGACCAAACCACTGTTCTCGGGCATTGGGAAACCGGATACCACTGTTCTCGAGCATTAGGAAACCGGATACCACTGTTCTCGGGCATTAGGAAACCGAATGTGTATGATGTACGGGGGACAAGATACATGGTAACATTTATCATGGTGTAAACCTCCCATTCTTGGATCACTCTTGAACCAGTGTCACAAAAAACTGGGGTCTAAACTGCAGTTGTACATTCGCCTTTCCCGGAACTCGCGTATAACGAAGTACACCAATTATTCATGTGATATAATACAACCACCAAAGGAATACTTAAGGCTCAGGCAAAGAGCAATCCCAACAAAACACTACGCTGATAAATAACACAGACACAACACAAGTTACGTTCACGTAAAGCACGAATACGGGAAAGAAAGGTCACGCGACAGATGCCACATTGCTTGAACTCCAAATTCCAAATTATAGGCCACACAGTTGTATATATATGACACATGTCATCATAGCTTATCGAATACAAACAGCGCCAACCGACGGCCAGTATTTACGCCCGTTTGTGACACTGTGTCGGTCACGAGTCGGTGGACAACAGCTTGCACCGTCGGCGCCGCGGGGCTCCGTCCGTGACGCGCTGTGTGACCGGGGAGCCGAGCGTCACTGTTGACACGCCGGCGGCGAGGGGACCGGTGTCACGGAGTGTCTCGCCGTGCCGCCTCGCCGACACAGTGCTGTGGCTGGTGGAAGCCGGCCACCGGCGGCCGTGCGGCTGCAGTCTACGGCTGCGCACAGCGGCCAGGACCCCGTCAACCTGCTCAGCCTGCTCAGCCTGCTCATCCTGCCCGCTCCGACACGAGGTGGGCCGACAGCGCACCGAGGGTCGACACCGCGGCCGGTCCGGACGCGGCCCGATGAGCGCGCTCCTGCCCAGCCGGGCGTCGCCCGCGGGCTGGTCACAGACGTCCGGGGTCGATGCGCGGACCGTGTGAGGCGCCCGCTCGGGACCCCCGTGCCGGGCCGTTACAGGCCTAGGCCGGGTCAGCCGGTGTCGATGAGCGCCAGGCGCAGCGTCGTGAGCAGCACTGCCCGCCTCCAGCGGACGGCGTGACCCGCCCCGGCCGAGGTCACCGCCCGGGTCGGCGCCGTCGGCTTGATGTCCAGCACTGCGTTGGAGTAGTTGGTCGGCACGGGCACATTGCAGAATGAGTCGTCGCAGCAGGAGACGCACGTCTGTGAGAGACGCGACGAGGTGCGACGTGAGGAAACTGGTCACATTGGTCACGTGACACTGGGTGGTACACATGGCACCGCCCAGAACGAGTTGAAGTGAGGAGATCAACCAAATGGTCGGCAGAGTTTGAAGTCACTCGTCCTTACTGCTCGTGCCCCTGCAGTGTTGGCTAGTGTCTCAGCCCACACTTCTGCCCGCCCTCTTTCCTATACAGATCGCTCTTGTAATCCTCCCGCAGCTGAGAGGAATCGATATCATCGCAGTCCATTCTACTCATTGACAATCTGGGAATTGCAACTACAGCTCAACAAAACTCGTGCAAGGTGCGTAAATTAAGCGACCACCGCTGCTTGATGCTTGCACTCCTGATTTTCTCCGCGCCGTTTGGCACCGATAGTTTTTAGTATGCAACCAGTTTTCTCCCTTTATTGTTCTGGGTGTTACGTATCTCCCTCATCGCCCCTTGCCCCGCTCTCTCTCTCCCTGCTCTCCGTCTCTCTCCCCCCCCCCACATACACTCTCTCCCTCTCTCTCCCTCTCTCTCTCTCGCTCTCCCTCTTCTCTCTCTCTCTCTATGCGCACATACATAAAAGACCGTACCTCTCAAACCCAAATTAGCATTGATTCAAATGCTGCATGCTTTTGAAAAGACGTGCTATTATACATTAACGATCTAGAATTGTTTAACGCCAGCAATTTTCAACCTAACGCCTGCACATATGCAGAGTTATTGACCATCGGCTGTAACACGAATGTATTGCAAAATCTAAGACGCTAAGATCTTTAATAAACGAAGCATCTTGAGCTAGCTGGTGGTGCTGTAGTGGGGCACAGGAACAACAGATAGAATTTGCTAAAACTACATTTGCCATCCCATGGACGCGGTACACTTGTTGTTAGTGTCAGGGCTCCTTGCGTCCCGTAACTCTCCTGATGTCAGTGCCCATCCCAGGCTTCCCCGCGTTGGCTAGAAGACTCCGTTCAGTCTGTCTCGAGAATTGCTCCCTTTCGGTCTTAAGACCCACTTGTTCGGTCCTGAAACTCACCATCGGTTGGCCTGAGACTCACACTCGGCACGTCCCGAACTGGCCATCTGTCCATCCTAGACTCACTCCTGTATGTCTCGAGACTCACTATCTGTAGACCCCGAGACTCACGCTCTATAGGTCGCGAGACTCACCCTCTATAGGCTCCGAGATTCACCCTCTATAGGTTCCGAGACTCATCCTCTGTAGGCCCCGAGACTTACCCTCTATAGGTCCCGAGACTCACCCTCTATAGGTCCCGAGACTCACCCTTTGTAGGCCCCGATACTCATCATCTATAGGTCCCGAGACTCACCCTCTATAGGCTCCGAGACTCACCCTCTACAGGCTCCGGGACTCACCTCTTTATGGGTCCCGAGACTCACCCTCTATACTCACCCTCTATAGGATACGACACTCACCCTCTATGGACTCCGAGACTCACCCTCTATAGGTCCCGAGACTCACCCTTTATAGGTCCCGAGACTCACCCTTGGTCGGTTCCGGCTCACCCTTGGTCGGAGCCGAGGTTCGCCTTCTGTCCGTCTGAGACGAACGGCCTGCATATCTCCAAAGGCACACTCGATCTATCCCACGGCTCACCCTCTACCCATTTAAGACTCATCCTCTGTTGATCCCTAAACTCATCCTCGGACGGTCTCCGAAACTCACCTTCGATCCCTTCCTTAACTGACGCTCGGTCGGCACCGAGACTCACCCTCTGCCGGTCCTGCTGCAGACAGCCGACCTGGTCCTCCCGGCACTGGTCGGCCGTCGCGCAGTGTTTGTTCACCACCAGGCTCACTCCTGACCAGTCCATGATGTGCAAGGTGCGACAGAACTCGGTACCTGCCGGCGCCAGACGATCACCATGTCGAGTCACATCGTGACACAGGGATGCAGTTTCCTTTGCCGTGCAGTATGCAACTTAAATGCAGTGATGTGTGGGCCAGAACGCGCGCCTTAATGCATTCACTTCACATCCAATAGGACTAAAGCAGTTCATTCAGCTCTAGCCACGCGCCAATGCTGTTCGCAGTACATCCCCCAGTAAATGCTGAAGTGGCAACGTGGCACAGGGCAGAGTTTGACTTCCCACGAATCCTTTAACGTGGTGTCTACAGTACGGCAAACACGAGACTTAGAGGTCTTAGCTTCACTGCATCGTACCTTCCTTGATTTCGAGCCTTACCGCCATTTCTGGAACATGTGATGAAAGTTTTTCAAGAAACAGGATAGGCGCGGATATATATATATATATATATATATATATATATATATATATACGTATTCTAATCTATTGTTATCTCGTAATGCGAACCTCTGAACACTTCCTGATGGCATAAACAACACGTACTTTCCTACGCTACTGCCCGTTACTGGACATGACATGATTTGGTACGCGTATGAATATTTGACGGAGGACCCCATCTCTTGCACTCATAAGTTAAGACCCGGCCGATTCGGTCGACAGCGCTAGTTTTCTCGAAACCCGTCTAAATAGCTCAAAATTTCGATTTAAAATAGCCACTTCAACGGGAGAAATGTCATTGCGCTCATAGCTTACCACTATGAAATAAGCACTTACAGATTGTATGACTTTTCCCAGCATGGCCTAATAAAATGGCTTCAGTACACCAATTGTCAAAAAAATTCAATAATTGGCATGACAGTTTAGGATTGCCTAATGAGAGAAAAATATATACCCATGTGCGGTCATTGCCACGCGAATTCAGCGAAACGTCCCACGATGGCTTTGACTCCTCCCCTCTTGCTACAATGATGGTAACCATGAAAATGGGCAGGGCACCGGACATAAAACTGAAAAAAAAATGGTGAATTGCAGGCCATAAATAGCATGGGTTTTTGTTAAAGCAAAATTATTTACCTTAAAAGATCCGACACACACAATTTTGTTACAGGACCTGGCTTAAGTGCATAGACTATCACTAAGCACAAAATGTGGCCTGATGAACTACACCGGCCTACTGGGCTCATGCCGGAACCAGATAGGATCAACAACATGACCACACTTAATCTGGCAAGCCAATTTTAAGTTTGCTGACATGGTAACAGCAAAATAATACTGTTTGGAACTCATACACTTCCGTCACAATGTTTTCTCTGCTTATAATGCAGCTGAACCTGACCACTTCTACACTTCCAAAGCTAGGCGGAGACGTATGGCTAGTGTAGATGTTCGATGTTACTGTATTACTGCTATTACTATACTATTTGTTATTATATTGGTATAATATACTGGTCACTTTACTGGTTACCATACTATAATGGTTATGTACTGGTTACTTTACTACTATATTACTGGTTACTATACGCTACTATATTACTGGTACCCATACAATTTAAAGGATACAAGAAAACGTTCCTTTAAGGTTTAATGCCATCAACTGTTCTTATTTTATATGAAATGAAAACCTCTGATTGTTGTCTTCGACAAGATGATGTGACACTGGTTGCAAGTTTTTTTCTTCTGTAAATATCATGCATCGTTCCGCAACCGGTGCAAAAGAGGTTCTCGAATGCTCTCAGGACGTTTGTTCCTTACATTTTCAGGTCTCGCTACATTGATATAAACATTTCATTCAAACTAGGAATATGATGATATGGCGACGACCTGAGTACAATCCACCAATCCAGATTTGGTGGATTGAGCTCCTAGCTCATCCACATATGGATGCACATGTTTGTATTGCGCAATGTAAGATGTCTTCATGGGTGTCAAAAGGCAGCCCCTCCTCTGAAATCTGAACCACACTTCTAATGACGAGTGTCTTATCATTGCATAACCTCAGCCACATATGAGTCATGCTGTGTTTGGAAAGATGCAGACTCAAGTGTGCCATTCTGTTGGTGTTACTTGGTGCTGGCTGTTACCCTTGATATCACTGAGCGCAACTAGTTCTTTTTACACCAGAAGTACTACAACTATGAGCGCTAGATATCTTAAAATGTTTTTTTTTTGAAGCATTGTGTACCCTCTTCACAGGAACTGGAAAAGGGCAAACAGCCCAGCAAGTGGGCGGATGAGGTCTCCTGTCAAGGTAGCAGGTGGGCACGGATATGCCCACGCGGATGTGGGGTGGCAACGGCAGCGCCCATTTTGCTCGCGAAGGCCATGGCATCGCCTGGTCTTGTCCTGGATCTGCGAATGCCCTGACTTTGACATAGTTTCCCGTACCGGAAGATCCGGCTGTCCTTGACCTCAGCCGCACTCCACATTACTGCGAGACGACACGCATTTCAGGCATTATATCAGCGCCGCCCTGCCGTGATGGTTCCTGCTGATGTTGCGCGAAAGCTTACGACCATCAAGGTGTCATGCAACTGACACAATCTGGCAGTGACACAAGGCTTGGGAATTCCAGAAATCCCAACAACCCGCCACATGTGATACGGCCACATCAGGCAGGACAACTAATCGAGGCAAGCTGCCATAGCTAACACGAGCTGGAAGTCATTGCTTTCAAAAAGCCTTGAATTGTTAAGATTGTTTGGTGTATTTTTAGCACCGCAAAACGTAGCATAGCCTCAAAAATACAAGCGCAACAAATCGATGACACTCAAACGTGATGCATTGCAAGGAGCGCTGTCTGTCATACAGATCCTCCAGCTAACTTTGTTCTGAAACAAGAAAAATATCCTGAAAGCAGCTTTTTAACCTCACACACAGAACGACGCACATATCACTCTGTAAAGCTCTGTCCACCTGGTGGCGGGGTGACGTCTCGGCGTGCCAATAGTGCAGTGGTTAAACTGCGCGACTGGAAAACCAGAGGTGCGGGGTTCGATTCCCCTCTTTCCGAGGCAGGAGGCAGGCGTTGCCAGATAGCCACAGCAGCTGAGCGCGTCGTAAGGCCCCAATGACGACGAAGTCGTAGTCACGCATTGATGTTTAATGTGATAATAAATACAGAGCCCTTTCACGCCGTTGCCACCACCGCAATTCACACATAGAACCCATGTCGTTAATGCCAAGACTTACAAAAATACGGTAATGTGGATAAAACAACCCGTAGAAGATACCATATCGTTTTATGCATGCCAATTAAGTATCTGTTTGCGGAGATCCTTTTACAGCGGATAGCCTACCAAAACACTTTTTTGGCGGGAGCGCCAAATAGGTAAATAATTGCGGTATATTCTTGCGATTGCGTACTTGCTAAGTGCCTTGCGATGAACATAACGCATGTGAATAAACAATACTAAAAACCGTATTCATCGTAGAATAGCCGGGAAAATGGATATATATATATACATATATATATATATATATATATATGTATATACACTTCGGCTAAGTGCCCTCATCAAAACAGTAGTAAAATAGTAGTAAATTCAAAATTGTCAAGTGCCAAACTTGGCAATTTCAAACAGTGCTGCTAATAGTCGTTTCGATGGAGACAAGGAACCGAAATATCAATATACAGTCTCCATTCTTCTGGCTAATTTACCGGGAAAAAAGCGATTAGTACTGTCTTACTTATGTGATTTATTGATGCCTGTACATTTGCTAGAAGAAGCAATTGAGCTGTCACAATTCTGTAAAATTTTGACATTCACAAAATGCATACGGTAAGCGAGTACAGAATGGTTATACGTTGATGACAGCTGCAGCATATTAGCCAATGACTTTAAGACCTAGGACAAAGGGAGAGGCGCCAAAATTTATGGTGTTTACAATTTGTTGGAGTTGAAAAGTCACTATCATATTGGAATACGGCTGGTATGGCGTTCTTACAGGAGCGGTCCGTTCTGTTACTGTCACGATAGCACGGCTAGCCAAACACCATCAGAAAGCACAGCTGGTCTGACGTCATGAGCTGGATATGGTCGGTCTGACGTCATCAGCGGAGTGCGGTAGGTCTGATGTCATAAGCGGATTGCAGTAGGTATGGCGTCATGAGTGGAGTACGGCCGGTCTGACATCATAAGCGAAGAACCGCCCGTCTGACGTATGAACAGAGTACGGTCGGTCTGACGTCATGAGCGGGGTACTGCCAGTCTGACGTCATCAGCAGAGCACAGCTGATCTGAGCACATTAGCAGAACATGGCAGGTCGGACACCATTAATAAAGCACGGCAGACGACACACTATCAGCAAAGTACCGTCGGTCTGACGTCATGGGCCGGACACAGCTGATTTGTCGTCATTATTAAAGCACGGCCGGTCTGATGTCATTAGCCGAGCGCGGCTGTCTTGACGTGAACGGTGCAGCACAACTCATCTGACGTCGTTAGTGGAGCCCGGCTAGAGTGATGTCATTAGCAGGGCTCGGCCGTTATGACGTCATTAGCGAAGCGCGACCAGTTCGGCATCACTAACGGGGCGCGGCCAACCGAGCCGCTCGCCGGAGCGGGCCACTGTGGTGAAGCGGACGCGCCGCTGCAGCCCCTCTGGGAAGCGCCGCGCGAGCCGCGCTGGGCGCCAGGAAACCCATCAGCGCGAGTGGGCGCCGAGGGACGCAGACATGGCTGATACACTGCGAGACGAGAACGGGCTGAGAAACGGCCGAGCCTGCGGGCCCAGTCACGTGCGACCATACGCCCTGCGGCTGATCCTTCGCTGGGCACGGCGGGCAGAATTCGGGATAATAGGGCAGCCGGGCGGCACGCAGGTGCAGCTGTCGTTCTCGTGATCAGAGGCCAGTTGTATGAAGGAAAATCCCGTCGGCGACGAGAACCAATAGCTGCGACGCAGAAAAGACGATGCAAGGGAAATCGGATGGAAGGAGTTAAAAGCACTGGCGTCGGTTCCGTCTTTTGTCCCCCGTTCTACCGAGACCGTATGAAGGTAGAGGCGCTCCGCGGCTCTTTTCTTACAGCGAGGTTAACGCTCTATGCACTGGAGGTGACATTTTACCATTGCATGGAGTGAAGTGGTTATCAACTTCTTTAAGATAGTGCGAAATCTAATTATATATTTAGTAAACATACCACTTACAATTAAGAACAAGGTTCTTACTTTCTCTCATAAATTATCCCAAAAGTGATTCAAACGCCGAAGCATGACGAAAGTAAAAAGTAAAAATGGAAAAGAAAAATAAACTTAAGTAATGCAACGGAAGTAATACGAAGATACAATAGGAAAAGGAGAGGAAAAACGTAATACTGATACGGAAACATAACGAAAGGAATGCGAAGATGTGAAGCTTTCAGCAATAGTATAACCTTATATAGGGAGCGCCCACCACTGGCACATAGACGCTGGTCCGGTGATATGCACTCCGCGCTGGATCTGTCCAAAGCCTTGACTGTGTCAGCACGATATCTTCCTGTCGAAGATTGTGTGGCACGGGATTTCATTATGCTGCATGACCAGATTTCTTGCTGCTAAAACGGTGACAACTAGAGTGCATGCTCCATATGTGAAGATATTAAAATAAGAATCAGGTATGATGAAATAGGCTCATTTACAAAGATTGGTATGGTGTTAAGTGAAAAGGACTGCTCTAGACAACAAAATTTGTCTTATCGCAAACACGCTGTTGACTACGTCTTTCTTAAATGACGTCATCGTACCTTGCACAACAAGGATTCAGAACTAAATGGCGTCTGTGACATCCGGAAATGGTGCGCCCGAACACCAGATATGAACAACTCAACAACCCGACCCTTCTTGGCCTTGACCGTCGCATGGGAAAAGGAATGGCAGGACCTGAATGACGTTATCATCGCTTCGTGAAGGCCTAGATGACCTTGAAATAGCCCACACATCTTCGCGGGCGTGTAGCTCAGAAACTATAGGGGGTAGTCTTAAGCATGGCAAGGTTGGGAGCTGCATCGAATGATCTTCAAGACGGCTGTTTCGGTTCACGCGCGTTTGACGAGGCCACTCACCAGCGGGACACGGAGTGTCAATGGCGAACCTGTTGCAGATGAAATTGCTCTGAACGTTTTCACAGAAGATGCACGAGAGGCCATTCACTGAAAAGAAACAGACAGGCATCACTGTATAATGTGATCATGGCGGCAAACTGACTCTCGTGCCACTTTTAACGGAAATCGTTGAATTTTTGGCTCGATCGCTTTGAGTATGAAGGGTCGAGACCAGTCGTCAACGTCATTATCCCATGTTTAGGCTGAAGTGCTATGGGTAAGTTTCATTAGGGCCTTTTCATGCATGTAAGGCTGTAAATAGCTCCAGACTATCAAAAGATGCCTCATCCAATCATACCCGGAAATGCTTCATGTGCGGTCCTTGACCCAAGCTGAATAACGAAGGTCATCTACCCGCTAAAAGACCTCGTAATATCTGCCAGCAAGCTGGATTGCGGGAAACACATGTTTCAGGAGAGACAGAGATCATGCACTTAACCAAGTGCTCCCGATGTGGCCCATTCTTTTGATTAGTTAGCTGAAGCACTTGCTTCAACTATAGTTTTACGTTATAAACATTTTACTATCTGTTTCAACGCGTTTCTCGTCAATAATTTCTTTTCGTATATGTGCACTTTGAGCAGGAATGTAGTTTCCTATTCAGTTGAACGCTCTAACACCCTACTCCCCAACATGGGGTCCAGCCCAGGGGTGCAGTTACCTATACCATTGGGTGGGGGGGGGGTGGCTAACCCCTTCCTAAATTGGGCTCCAGCTCTCCGCGCTTTGAGATGAAAGTCGGCACAACTTTTTGTTGGCATATTTCAGTGTTACGCCGGGTCATTCCTTCCTATTCAAAATCCCCTCAAACATTTTGTGAAACTACGCCCCCGTTCCAGCCCCCGACATTGAGAAGCAAATGGGCCAAATCTAGATTGGACTAAATAATGCAACTTCAGGCTACACATCAACTTAACACAATGGTTATCGATGGGCTGTCAGGACTCGGAGCGCAAGACGTTGCCATGTGCGCGACCCGTGAAGGACGGCAGGCACGTGCGGGTAATTCATACGCACTCTGGAAGATTGTCTTGGCTTTGACGTCGAAGTGGATGGTTCCCAGCTCACCGCCACGGTTCCTGACGCAGTGAGCCGACCGCGCCCGGTCACCCGATGCCGGTCGGTCGGCTCACAGCGGGCCGCCGCGCGTGACCCGTCAATGCTCAAATTCCATTTGAGACCGATCTAGAAGAAATCCCGTCATGTGTTTAAGCCTGAACGCCAGTTACTTGTTCTGTGCATTATTTTAAAGAAAATCGAAGGCATCATATCTTTCAGAAAATCAGGTCAAAGCTTAATCCAGACCACTAAATGATCCTTACCTACATTAGATGTTATATTTACCCATGTTGCAGATCAATATATGTATTTGTATTTTTGATGCACTTTTCCTAGGCATAAGACTCCGCGGGCTGTTTTTTTCTAGAGCCGTTTCAAAGCAGGACTCGTGACGTCACCGCGTGCTTCCATCTGCTCCCAGTTCCTTATCGGTGCGCCGTACGACTCTAAAACTTGCAGAATCGTGTTTTGGCCGTATGGCTCCCTCATAAACGTGTTTTCGTCTCATTTTAAGGGAATGCCGCGTTATCCTCCGGTCGATTTTCCGTGGAATGGCCTAGCTTGGAAGTGTGAGACAGCCGGCAGCCTATGACAGCCACACGGCATCCAAATACCCCATTACCAACAGCGCCACCAGCCTGTCGGCGACGGACATCATGCACAAACACTGCATCACCTTATTATAGCGTCAGTGCTTAAGACCTCATGAAATTTCTCGATTGGTGGTGGATTGTCTGTAACTGTGGCAAGCAGATTTTATGTTCTATATGACACTAATTGCTAGCATATGATTATTGTAACTGGATGGTAAATTATCAAAAAATGATAAAAACATGCAACAAAAACACAGGCAGTAGGAGATGGGGGGTGGGGGGGGGGGGGAAGCAACAGTCACTGCACGACTTCCGTCACAGTTGCGGGAGATGCACTCGCGTCACTGCACGAGCATTGGCTTACAGATACCCTGCTACACTCCTCCGCCTTTTGACACTCATGCGTTGGGCAAATCGCCGCAACGTCATTCCGATTTCGATCTGGTATTTCAGCGAGTAAAATCAGGTCGGATCGACTTGGATGTCGTGCAAATAATGTCAAACGCAGCTAAAAAAATAGTGCAAGCACCAATCGTCCATACAACGCCACAGCTTTTTTCATGCACTAGTTTAAGCTTTCAATCCCGTCGTTAAAAAGGCGTGCAAGCGTTTGTACCTATTTCTGATGTGAGCTATGATATCGACCGGCCTTGGACCTACCAAGAACTGCCAAAAGTCATCAGTAAGATGATTGAATTTGAAAATATTAACCTTTTTTGGTGACAGTGATGACGGTGATGAGAAGCACGCTAATATGCTGTGTTGGTACTTACCACTGTAAACGGGGTTACGCATCCATGAAGTGTTCGTGGCCCGACAAACCGCAGTTAGACCATACTTCACATAAACGCAGTGCATTTCCGACCCGCTTTCGTTCTTTGAGATTTGTACATTTCCTATGTCAATCCAATTGCGAGATGAAAGAGCTGTGACATCGCAATTTTTCAAAATTACTCCGCCTGATTCAACAGTATGTCTTCAAGTGTCATGAGAGCATTATAGTACAACTTTAAAAAGCCATGCTACTTGTTGCTGAAACTTTAGCGCGGTATGATCTGCTGCTGCAATGGTCGGTGTGGGGCCAGTGTTTCAAAAGTGTCACTGGCCGGCCAGCCTACTGAAGCGACTTAATTTCCGATTAATTGACATCAGACTCGCCTGCCCTGCGCCTTTGGTTTTAATAATCCGCTTTTTCCCATGACCTCAGAGATTCACCATGGTGCGGTAGCAGAACAAACGACGCGGGTACAGCCTATTGCGTTGCATCCAATGTCCGATAACATCGCCGGAGATATCTCAAACAATGAATGTCCAACGATTTGGCCGCAAATAGACCTTCATTTGGAGCACTTGACCTAGCTTGACACTGGACGGATTGGCCTAATTGATTTTCAGAGAATGGCATCACCATGAATCATGCTAGATTTAAACATCATGCACATGGTTGCAAAGTTGGTTGTAGAAGAACTCGGTACGAGGTACGGGGGGGGGGGGTAAAGGTTAAGACCGGTGAGATCGGATCTCAGTCTGCTTATCTGTAAACGAATCGAGTCACTTGAATTGACGTCCCGAATAATCATGAACTTGGAATCGATTTCGGGATCTGGGGACCCAGAGTCACGCTTCACAACGGCTAATCTAGGATGATTCGCTGGCATAAATGATATCGCTGGAAGATGTTCTATACCGGGTGATGCAAAGGCACTATAAACATGATGTATATGAATGTATATTTTCATGGGAAATCAATGTACTTCATCTCGGCAGAACTTTTGCGGAGGGTGTTTAAATATACTAAAGGCGATATATGAATGTCTGTATTTTCAGCTTTGTTTACGTCTCATGTTTATGTTTCATCAATAACGCTTATTGCCACCAATATCTCTCATCATCAAAGACATTCCAAACATCCATTGCGAGCAAGCCGAGATGAAGGAGAACCAAGCCGACCGAACACCGGTTTCGGAGCGTCAGGTCCGGGGAGGGCCGACACAGTACAGAGTGGGGTCGAAACAAAACAATGAAGTGTAGTCGGGCGTGAGCACAATCAACGCGGAGCGGAGCGAGGAGAGTGCGGACTCGGCGCAGAGTGGAGCCTTCAGAGCGGAGGCAACCAAGCGCAGCGAAGCTCTGCAGAGTGGCGGGCACGAGGCGTCGGCACGGCTGGGATATTTATCGCCCTTTTCGGACTATTACCTTCGCCGATGACCCTACTGTGTGCACTATAGATCGGCGTTGGTGACGTTATGGTGGGCAGTACGTTTCGGCACCGGCTGCGGCCGTCAGGCGGTGTTGGCTGGTCACGAAGAAAACCGCAGAATGTTTTGAAAATGAAAAAAAAAAACAAAAAAATGTGTATGAACCTACGGAAAGGTTCTTTCTGGCAGCTTTGCGATTCGAACCGCGATATCGAGATTTACAGACTGACGCTCCACTGATAAGAACCCCGAAAAGAACAATCATCTTCGCCCATAAACCTCGGTGGAGAGCTATAGACTTTGGCAGCACCTTGAAGGAGGTTTAAAACGTCAGTCTCAATGGGCAAGGCTGTGGGTTCGGATCTGGAAGCTGCCGGAAGCTTTCGGAGCTAGACATAGAGAGGAAAACAATTCGAATCATTGCTCCATCAGAGCCGAGCTGCTCCCACGCCTTCGGCAGCAAACGGCGGCGGCTGCGATCGCAGAGCGGCGCGGCGCCCGTTGGCTGGGTGATATACGGCCGGACCGGCCAGACCACGGTTGACACCGGCGACAAATCGGTCAAATCAATACCAAAAGCCGAGTCGACTGCCGCACCACCGCCGCCACCAGCTCGGCATGATTCGGGATTTTACGACTTGGCTCGTGCATTTCACATGCCGAATGGGTGGGCATAATACAGTAGCAGTGGTCGGTGGCAGCGCGCAGCAGCTGGGTCAGGGACAGCCTCCGTGCGGCGGCGGCCAGCTATCAGCCATTGGTTCGTCCCTGGAGCAGCGCACCTGGCTCAACATCAGAGCACCTGGGAATCTACCCTGTCCCAGAACAGCTCTTATAAACGAATTGCAAATACAGCCATCCGCCGCAGTGCATGCTGGTGCATTTTTTTTTTTTTTAACGGGACGCGCCGCGCGTCGTTCCGACCCTTCTATGGAATGCCAGTGACCGCAATAGCCGTATTAGCGCTCGGGGGCATGGCGCAACTGGGATTCGAACCTGGCCTCCGACGTGGAAGTCCCGCGCTAGAATCATTCGGCCGTTACGCCCCCATGACGGTGTGGTAACAGCCGGTTCAGGCCGGGCTGAGTACGATTCAAGGGTGCGTTAGAATTTCTACAGCACGTCCAGCTCTCGAGCGAGAACTTATAACAGGCGGGCAAACTGCTCGAAAGGTGGTTCATCTGAAAGTCGGGCAGTAATCCATAGTTCTGCTCGATAAATAACCAGCTTAGCGGTGAATGCTTCAGATTTGTTACTTTTGACATCGCAGTGAAGTGTTCTGAATATTCATAATAGACCACTACAGGGAGAATGTCTGAAGAAATCAGTTCGACTAGGTTGCGTGGCGTCCAACTGCAGAAGCTAGCATAGCCCCCTGAGGGGGAGACAGAGTTGGTTTAACTTAAATGAGAGGTGCCCGAGTGTCGGGCCTCTATAGACCACTGCGGGAAAGGCGTGTCCGTTTGGTTTAGTTAGCGATTATTTCACTATGGTGTTCCGTCGGGGGGCATCCCCAACGGGAACCATGGACCACTGCCAAGATAGGGGCCAATAGTAACAAGCGAGCTTATTTTATCTTATGCTTGCTTCAGTATCTTTAAATGCGGAACCTTCCATTTGCAGGGAGTGTTCTCACTTGTAGTACTTCAAACTCGCCGAGAGATGGCAGTGGCAGTGGTGCAAGTGTTCGCCAAACCAAACATCGTTATGAACTAGTGTTTGAACTTTTTCTCGCGGTGTCCCTGTATATTTTCCCGTGAGTTCTATCTGTGTACCTGTATTCACATACTCGGTTGTGTGGTTTTTCTTAAGCAATTCGATTACATGTCTTAGTTCGGGAATATGTTGTGTTCAATTGTGTTCGCCTTATTATCCTAAGTAGCCCAAATCGTGATCCGTGAGTGAAACTAGCGGAGCTTGTTCAATACTGGTTGAAAGCCAGTTTACATCTTTATTGGAGATAGTGCTCACGGACCTCAGGTCTGAATTGTTCGGCACTAATATTCTTCCTGGCATTAAACGCCGGCCCATTGTATGAGCGAGGTTTAAATGGCGTTGCTATGGCGTGACACATGCCTGAATGGCCTCGAAATGGTCTGCCAGAAACAGCCTGTGCATGTTTACGGGCATATGGCTCATAAGCTAGAGGGCTTTAGGTATTAAGATGGGCAGGACTGTGAACTGTACCGAATGTTCTTCAAAAGTACTTCTTCAGTTTAAGACCCCATCAGGATCAAGAGATCGCCCGGCTCCTAAAATATATCTTAGAACATCTTCGATGGTTGTTATCCAGCCCTGTCGAAACTTTTGGAAGCGACGACATGTTCTCGATTGAAAACCAGAACTACCTAAGTTGCAAAGGTCTCAAAAAGCATGCCTCCGCAAAATACATGTCCATGTGGTCTTTGAGTGAGGTGGATGGTCTGTCTTCTAAGTATTGGGTGTTAAGAACCACTGCACGGGAAGAGAGTCTCTGTTTGGCTTGGTCGAGGGTCACCACATGAGAAGAGTTCATATGTCTGCTATTGGTCCGGATTGGATAAGGGTCACCCGCCTGCCGGGAATTCCAACTCGATGCTCCCACTTGGCCGGAGAGTCCGTCATCGAATGGCCCGCCCGGCTGCTCATTCAGCGACTCGTCTGTCCGGTGACTTATTTATGGACTCGCCCACCCGGTGACTCGTTCAGCGACTCGCCCGCCTGGTGACTCGCTCAGCGACTCGCCCGTCCGGAGACTCGCTCAGCGTCTATAAAGCGGTTTTGCATTCTACCTGTCCGGGATTTGGAAGTACCTTGAAGACGCTTGGGAAACATATCGTCAGAGTAAAAAAAAGTCCTGGTTCGGATGGTCGGCACACTCTTCTCCCGTCTGTCATGAGCAGATGCACCTTTCATAAATATATGTCTAGACGGAGAAAGAAATACGACGTGAGGAAATTAAGATTTCTTGTTACAAAGTCCGCAGGGTATTTCGACAAATGGGTGACTGACTTGAATCAGAAAAGGGGTCCATGGCAGGGAGTGACACGCGTTCACTGCTCTCGCTCGCTCATCGAATCTCGTAATATCACGTATACCTCATCGACCACCAGTAGCCCCCGTAAAATGTCCGCACGGTGCGCTTTTGTTTTGATGAGGCTGGCTTTTACAACTTGTCTCATCAGTGTTTAGTATTTCGTGTGGCGTTGTATTTAACTTACATCCCATGTGACATGACTGGGATCAAATACTAAGCCACTTGTTGAGATGATACCTTAATTAATTCACTTGACTTGAGTGACACGGGCCGGATGGAGCATCACTAGCCTGAAGTTGGTGTATGATGGTAGACCTGACTGGGCATAGGTCGCTGACCTGACTTGGCACACGTTGCTGACCTGACTGAGCGTAGGCCGCTGACCTGGACCAGGCGTGTCATCACTGACGCCAACGGGCAGTGGAGTGACTGAACTAAGCTGTATTCAGGTTACCGACCTGTGCCGCGCGAAAGGTCACCTAGCAGGGTTGAGCACCGGGCTGTCTCTTCTTTAAAACAGAGAAGGCGGCGCACGCCGTCGCGTACCCTTCATAGAGCGCTAGCGACCGCAGAAATGGTATTAATGCTTAGGGACCATGGTTCTGCCGGCATTCGAACCCGGGCACCCCACATGGGAACCGAGGGCGCTTCCACTCGACGATGACGCCCTCGGGTTGCAGTCAGTGGGCTCCCTGACCTACAGCTGGTACGTGATCACTGACCTGGACCAGCGGTGGGGTCATCGGACCGGTGGGCGTGGTGCGGTCGCGGCCCGACCACCACCAGCAGCAGCAGCAGCAGCAGTCGCCACATGGCTCATCGCTCGGGCGTCAGAGCGGCCCATTCACTGGTCCCGTCAGGCAACGCCGGCGCTGCCGTCACGCCGCCACAGGTCACGGCGCGGTGGGTCACAGCGGGTCACAGCAGGTCTCGCTGGGTCACAGCACGCCAGGATTGGAGGTACACGCCGCCGCAGGTCACGTCAAGGTGCGCCGAGGCGCTGGGTCACAGCAGGTCACGCTGGGCCACAGCGCACTGAGACCGGAGACCGGACGCGTCACGGTAAGCCGAGGCTGGAGGTACATCATGGCACGGAGTTGCCGGGAATACGGTTCGTCACAGCATAGCCAGGCCGGAGCCTAACTTATTATAGGGTCCGATCGGGAACTACACAAAAACGACTGATATTTTTTACCATCACAAGGCTTCATGCCCTTTGCATGTGAAGCCATAAGTTGTAGCTCCCTCAAATTAACCTTGCAGTTAGCTGCGCAAAAATCCAAATGCTGATTTGGCGGAGGGAGCATCCTACCTCCTCCCCACAGCCGCCCGTCCCGCTCAGTGATCCGGACACTCATAGCCTCATGGCGAATGCGGCTAAGCCACGTAAGCGGGCACGGACTTCAATTACGAATTGATCAACATTGCAAGAAGAGCACTGGTGTCCGAACTGCTGCCTGCGCTATGAAAGACGGCGTGCAATCTTGGGAGTGAAGCTCATTTAAGTCCCTGATGTAAGTGCTTTAATCCTGCTGGAAATGGCTTTTGCCGAAGAACAAAACAAATCTATTTTAAACTTTCATTGGAGTACAAATCGAGGAACACCCACATGAACAATTCCCAGAGTAAGAGGAGACCCCAAAGCAACAATCTGCAGCATAAGCTAAGGGCTGAGTCTTGCCTGGATAATCGGCTCTCTCGCCAGATCTGCCCGAGTTTCGCGCGGCCGGGGCTTCGCACCAGGATCACATCATCAGTCGTACGTGCGTAACGTCTCTTCCTGCAGGGACCCGATCACGGCCTCCTGTCCAGATGAGCGGCACGAGGGCGAGTGGCCCCGCCCCGCTCCCTTTACGACGGACTGCACGTGCTCTGCAGCGGCGGGCGGGACGGCGGCGCCGGCCGGCCCGCCGTCCACGGCCCGTTTCCCATTGATTGGGGCTGTGACGCTACACTGGGCGGCGCAAACGGGCCGTCCCCGCGGAGCTGGCATCGAGATTGGACGGCATGAATGGCGACCGATCAAAGTCCCCCCGTGGAAATCCGCACCAGGCAGCATAATGAGCCAAATCGATCTGCGCTGAAACGGTACTCGAAGCAAAGGACAGCAAGGCAAGAGCTCCGAGATCAAGGGAAGGGCTTGTCTCACGGAACGCCCGATTTCGAGGTCAAGAGAAGAGTTTCTGCTTGGTGTACTGTGGTGGGCTTATCTAGATGTTTAATAGCTCATGTATGAAAACCTCGTATTTCATGTTCTTCAAACGTCAAACCAGGCGTACTGTGGTGTGCACATCGGGTATTCAATGCTTCACGTCATCTGGAAATCTAGCATTTCGCGTTCTCCAAACGTCAGTCCATTTCGCCTCAGCCCACACCGGCGGTTCCAATGCATAACCCCCTCACCAAACGGTAGTTTAGCTGTACTATCATGCTTAGTGTGATGAACTGGAGAGCCCAACCGTCGTGAGAAGCCTAGACGGCAGCCTTTCCTGAAGAAGTCCACAGCTGTTCCCAAGCTGATGACCTTCCACAGGCCATTCAACAGGTTCTCAACTAAGGCCTTGATGCACTCGCCAGGTCTCTTACCACACTCCAGCCATCGAAGAAAGGATTCGGAGAGCTAAGGGCTGTGACATCCCAAGGTCCACATGATGCTGGCCTCACAGCATCTCAGAATGCCTTTCGGATGATCTGGAGGATCATGAGGAGGAAGCTCAAGCTGAACCAGTTCCTTTTCACCGGGATCCTGTCGCCTTGCAACAAAAAGTCCAGGCTGGCGACGTGCATGTTCTGACGGTCCCGTTGCGATTGCTTTTGTTTTCGTTTTATTTTGAAATATTTCACAGCTTTATTTATTTTCGTTGATGCTAGTTGTATTGTTCGCGCTAATTCCATGTCAAGCAGCCCCGCCGTGGCCGCCCTTTCGCCAGGGTGAGAGTCGGGCGACGCCATTTAGCTTCAGCAGCTGAGTGCGTCGTAAAGCCCAAATGGCAACAACAAACGTCAAGCAACGGATACTAACCCACGGGGGTCCAGTTTCCAATCTAGTTGAGGAGCTCCAGCCCTCTCACGCTTGTTTTGATAGGAAAGTCCCCAAATTTGTGAAGAACACATTTTTGGCGATTGTGATGGTAGGTTTAGTCATTGCTCCTGCATCCCCCAACTTGTTTTGGAAAACTACACCCCTACCAACTCAGTGGGCACTCTGGTGGCTTGCATTTGGTGCATGCCTTTGAATGGCCATGCCTGTGGCATGACGCATGTGGCATGGCAGAACGGCACTGGCTCACCGAAATTCCGGTGGAAATCTCCAATAACTTGGTTGCATTCGCTTAGTAAACACGCGCCACACCGTCAAGCATTACTGCATAGTAGAGCGAGAGGTGGTGAGGAAAAAACAGGGCTAGCTCTCACATGGGTGGTTGTCAAAAACCTTGCGTTCCAGCTCCTAAATGTGAAAAATGTAAAACCTACGCACGCCTGATTTTTTTGGCTTTAAGTCAGACACGTCAGCCAGTTGGCCGTGTACGGACACCTGGCGCAGTCTCAAACCAAAGGTAATTTTGTACAAACTCAGCAGCATCTTTCAAAAAGGTACATAGCTGTAGTTTTAGCTGTCTCAAATTATACCCCCTTCCCCTACCTACTTTCCCAGCCTGAATTTATGCACTCGTGGCCTTGAGGCTGTAAGGACTAACTGAACCCTAAACACCAGCCTGGGTTTCTTT